TTGTCATATCACATAAATTAGACAACATACATGGAACTGATTAACTCATTGTTCGGTTCTAAGCCCTCTCCAGCCAACTCATTGTTGATTATATCTATTAATGAATTTTAATAATAAAACGGATGATTAATTGCAGACAAAATTTTTAGAGGGAATCACCTCAATAAATTAGAGAATAAAAAATTAAAATACCACCCCATTATACGTTGAAATATAAATAGGGGCATTTTGTGATAAACCAAATATTAAGCTTAATAAGGTAAATTGATGAGTTGGATCATAGTTATGGATTTTTACTTATAAAAATTGGGTATTATTTATAGGAACAAAAAGTGAAGAGTTGCAAGCAAGACAAATTAAATTGAGTGCTGCTAAACGAACCCTAAAATTAATTGAGTACACCCTACTACCAAATTATTTATTGAATTACTAATTTACCCTAATATAAAATGACCAAAGAGCGTACTTATTAATATAATATTAAATTACTAATTTACCATAATACAAATATAATTTTAATAAGTACACCCTACTCAGCTACTTTTCTCTTTATTGGCTGATTATGATTGCTAATGAATTCAAGCAATATAATTATTGATATTTTAAAAGGAGGGGAATTCCAGTGATACTACAGGAGTAATCTTGGTATTTTTTGAGGGGTCACAAAAACCAAAAAGAAGCAGAGGAAAGTGTGAACAGGTATAACTGATACTAACTGCTATTTTGAAGGGGTGCAGTTCTGCTATTAAAACACAAGTCCTATGCCATAAGACAATCATATTTTTCGAACTATATCATATTGCTTTAAAATTACATACTTTATTGGAGAGAAGCACACCACCGTTCGCCTGAATCCAAGGATCCGATGCTGGACCCTTGGGTTATAGATAGTTGAATCCTGGGAAATAGATGCCTGTTGAACTTCAAGTACTGAGAAGAGGCGAAATTCTGTCTTTAGGACATTGCGAATACACAAGCCTCTATCTTCAATAAAAGTCAGTATTATGTACTTACTTTGAATTTACACATTTATATAATTTTCATATTTTGCTGCTGTCTACAATTTAGAATTCTATATTAACATAGTGATCCTATAATATAAGTGTAGGGGTCTTTTGCTTCCAGCAGCCAGATGAATGGGCTTGGGCTGCTGTAAAGGATGAACAGATGTGTGATATTGCCCCTTGTTTCTGAGTTCAAGAATTAGGCCCTGAGAATGCTTCGAAAGGGTAATAGAACCTTAGGAAACACCCTGGTTATCTTCACCAACATAAATAACGATGGCTTGTAGGTAGATTCTTAGCTTGGCATGAGAAGCTTGTGGCATGGGAGCAAAGCAATCATGAGTTTAGCATTAAAGAGAGAGAGGACTGTGAATTCCTATGAGAAACATGGGTTCCAAGGAAAGGGGGAAAGGATTCTAAGAAGGTTTGTTGAAGAGAGAGAGAGATGGAAGGTATAGTGGGTGTGTTGAGTAGTTTCCAGCGGCTTGACGAAAACTCTATCAAGATCTGGAATAGCTTGCCAGAAGAGAAAATTGGAGGAGATGGAGGAATATGGCTCGAAATTGAAGGGTTCCAGAGGTGAAAGATGATGCTTGCTCTCTAGGTCTGGTTTGCTTGCCTTCGATTGAGTTGTTTTCAATGGGTAGAAGACACTCCCTTTTATAGCCGATGGAAGCTCCTCCTTCCCAAGAAACCCTAATAGCTTTTCTCCAATTTTCCCAAGTCTCCCATTCCCTTGTTCTTCTCTCCTTTCGATTCATCCTCTTTCCTCAGTCCAAACACACCAAGACAAGGTTTTCGGGAGCTCTAAAGCCTTCCCGCAGCTGCTCTGGCGTTTAACTCCTATTTTTGAACACCTTCAAACCTTCTTTCCTTCCCTCTTCAATGGTAGGAGCTGGTAGGAGAAAGAAATTGGTAAGGGCGTTGGTTTGAAGAGTGCCCCTCCTTCTAGCAACCTGTGCGCACCATTATCCTCTGGATCTTTGCATGTTCTTCTTTGAAATTTGCTATGCCTATGTGCTAGAGCCTCTCAACAGCTCACTGACATACACTTTGGCTTTCATCGTGGTTCACGTTTCCAGCTAAGTGCTGGAGACTAGATATTTTCTTTGCTGCTTGGGTTTTTGCTAAAGTGATAGGTTAGCCCATTAAGAGAATGGGCTAATTTCCTTAAATGATAGGCTATCTTATTATGGTGATGGGCTAATTTCCTAGGGTATTTGGCTCCCTTTTCTCTCTCTTTTATGCTTACCCACATATTTGGGCTCAAGAAATGGGCTTGAGTTTTTGGGCTCCCAAGCGGCCCAAAACTTCCATTTCTCGGCTCATCAATGGGCCTCATGAAAGCTCGTTCAGCAAGCCCCGGACATTTGAGTGGCTTGGGCCCACTTAAGCTTGTAGCTTGGTTGGGTGTGAAATAATGATTTCCCGCTTGGCATAGCGTGTCGCTTGGCATGCTTGAATTTTGTCACCTTTAAAAGGGATATGACACTTAATTGGATAATTAGCTTGGGCTCGTAGAGCCAGTGTATTTTATAGGCTATAGCGTGGCAAATTGCATATTTATTTGGCATTGCACGTGGTCGTGGCTCGTGCAAGCGTGCATGACGAATTTTGCATGCTCCGAACCGGGTCTTTTCTTAATATGGTGTTGCACTGGACAGGAAATTTATTTGGGCCCAACCTTGGATTTTTTGGGCCTCAACAATAAGTTATTTACTGATTTTTCCTAACAATGTATTAGAGTGTAGGGGTATTTTTGGTAGTTAAGTAGGGTGTACTTAGATCATAGGGTGTACTCAGTTAATTTTATGGTTCGTTTAGTAGCACTCTTAGACCATCTCCAACCCAAGGGGTGGAAACTCAAATTTTGAGTTTAGCCTCCAAAAAGCTTCTCCAACCCATGCATTTTGGGAGGTGGAAATTTGAGAAATCTCAAATCTGGACTAGAATTCCAATCTGCTTTCTGCCTAGACTGATAAATTCGTGGGCCCAAAATTTGCTTTAATTTTCATTTTTTTATTGAATGCTAGAAACCCACGTGATGGGCAATTGATGCGGGGCCCGCTGACAAGTGAGAAAAGCATATTGCCATTCCTTTATTGCGCACCAACGGCTAGTTTTTCACTTCAAATGTTATGCTGTTTTTTATTTATTTATATATTCCAACAACTATAAAATCAACGATTCTGATTCATTTTAGGCAATCTCAATGGTAAAATTTCACATCCAACGGCTCAAATTTAAATCCAACAGTCAAATTAATATTTATAATTAATCTAAGTCAGATCCAACCCCAAAACTTATTCCAAACTCTATAAATAGCCATTTATTTGGTAAATAATCCACCAAAAATCATTTTTTTCCTTTCTCTCTTTGTTTTCCTTTCTCCCTTTGTTATAATTTTTCATTCTACATTCATTCTTGTTGAGAATGGCCCCAAAACCCCAAAGAGGTGTGAATTGGAAACCACAAGAAGATGAGGCATTGTGTGGAGGGTGGGTTTGTATCTCTGAAGATGGGGCTATTGGCACGAATCAATCAAACGATTCATTTTGGTTGCATGTGTACCAAAAATTTGTGGAAAATGATCCGGGCATGAGCGGAGCCGGGATACGATCACCGCAAGCTATTGCTTCTCGGTTCAAGATCATCAACCAACAATGTTCTCTTTGGAAGGCATGTATAACAAAGGTCAATGCAAGGCATGTGAGTGGCTCCAATCTTGAAGATGTGGTGAGTACCCATTTTTTTCAATGCTTAAATTTATAATTTTAATTGTTTTCAATTATTAACTTGATTTTTATTTTATTTCATAGGTAAGATATGAATGCAAAAACAATTTTCTTGAATGATAATAAACCTCCAAATAGGCCTTTCAAGTTGTATCATGCTTGGCATATCTTAAAAGATTGCCCAAAATGGAACGACCTATGTGACCACACAAACATTCAAAGATTCTTCTCATAGTGGCAATACAGTCAATTTGGAGGAAGATGAAGATGATGTGGCCATGCCCACTCCAAGGCCGTTGGGAAGAGATAAACAGAAGGATGAAAAAAAGAAAGGGAAAGGTGTTGAAAGTTATCTCAACCAAAGTGGTAAGTTCTTGTCTGAATTGGTTCAACAAGGAAATGAGGCAAAAGAGGATAGGAGGCGATCGAAAGTTAGAGCTCCTACAAGAGCAACATGCATATCAAATCCAACAAGATAAGGAGGCCAATGAACAGAGGATAATGTCCATGGACCTATCCAAATTTACTCCAAGAAAGAAGAAGTATTGGGGGAATAAGCAAGACGAAATTATTGAGGCCCAGATGAATACAAGTTCCCCTTACAATCCAAAAGACAACTCTGGAGACTATTATCCAAGCCCTCCACATAGTGGTTATTAATTTACGTTTATTTGTAATTGTTTTATCTTTATTTCTAATTGTTGTTTATCTTTATTTTTAATTATCGTTTATCTTTATTTGTAATTGTTGTTTATCTTTATTTTTAATTATCGTTTTCCTTTTTTTTATGATTGTCATTTATTTTTATATGATTAGTTTTTTTTTAAATTCAATGATAAACCATATAATTCATTAAAATCACACAACTACATTTATAATTTAAACACACTTTCATAATTTAAACACACAACATAATTTAAACAGATTTACATAATTTAAACACACTTAAATAATTGGGAGTTTCACTAAAATACCCAAAATGGGGGCTGAAATTATAAAAATACCCAACACCCAAAACACTTTATAAACATACCCAAAACTCATCATTACACACACTCAAAACCCATTTATAAACATACCCAAAACCCATCATTACACACATACCCAAAACCCATTTTGGGTATGTTTCTATGTTTAAATAGTGCTTGGGTATTTTTATAAATACATGTCTAGGATTGGGTATTTTTATAAATATCTATAAATAATTTAAACACACTTACATAATTTAAACACACAACATAATTTAAACACACAACATAGCTCATTGCCCCTCTCCTTCGCATCTCCAAATGTGGTTGATCAAATCATTTCTTAGATTGTGATGCACTTGTGAAGCACGAACTCTATTATGACGGACCATGTAGTCTGAGATAGTTTGTCTATCTCGGTTTATATCGTACGTGATAGTTGGCTCAAGGTCATAAGCAAGTCTTGCTCTTGCTCTTCTAGATGTTCGTGGACAATCTTCATCATCAGATTCTGCATCTAGATCCTCAAACTCATCCTCAACAATCATGTTGTGCAATATTATGCACGTCATCATGATTGAATAAAGTTGTTCTTTGTGCCACATACGTGCAGGTCCTTTAACAATTGCCCATTGAGCCTGAAGTATTCCGAAGACTCTTTCGACATCCTTCCTATAAACCTCTTGTTTTTGGGCAAATAGTCTTTTTTTTGGAGTATCCGGTTGGGAAATTGTCTTAACCAATGTAGCCCAACGAGGGTAGATACCATCAGCCAAGTAATAACCCAGATTATATTCATTTCCATTGACAACATATTGGATATGGGGAGACACTCCATTCACTACGTCATTGAACAACGGGGAACGAGCTAGAACGTTGATATCGTTGTTCGATCCGGCAACTCCAAAAAAGGCATGCCATATCCAAGTGTCATACGAGGCCACTGCCTCTAGAACGACAGTTGGCTTATGCTTGTACCCAAGTCTTGGGGCAGTTCTTCCATTCCCAATGCATGCAGTCAAGATTGCATAACATGCCTGGGAATCCTCTGCGACTAGCCTTGTGCAAGAGCCTGTAAAGGTCGGCCGGATTTGGGGAACGGAGGTACCACTGACCATACACGGCTTCAATAACGGAGCAAAACTTTCGCAAACATTCAAGGGATGTAGATTCACCCAATCTATAGTACTCGTCGGTAGAGTCTGCTGAGCATCCATATGCGAGCATTCGAAAAACGGCTGTTAGCTTCTGCTCTGGGGATAGACTTTGTCGTCCCCAAGCGTCTATCTTCTGGGTAAAGTATGGCTCATGTGCAACAACATCATTCAAGATGCGATAGAAAAGCTCTCTTCTCATGCGGAACCGCCTGCGAAAGTCCACTAGGGGATAAAATGGACTTTCACAGAAGTAGTCTTCCATGAGACTCTTATGATGTTTTTCTCTCTTCCGATTCTTGTATTCACGGCCTGCAACAGAACCACCATGTTTGGATTGTTGAGCATATTGCTCCAGCAAAAACGTGTGGTGTTGAACAGCCATTGCAACCCTATGTTGACGAAGGTCATCATCATCAGAATCATCATTGAAGAAATTTTGTATAGCCTTCCCACGTGAATTCATTGTAAGAAGGAGAATTGAAGGAGATTGTGTGGTCAATTCAGTAGAATAACACTTCTTAAATAAACAAGAGAATGAGATGACCTACATGTTTGAAAATAATTGAATGAAGATAGAAAAAGATAGGGAAAGATAAGGGAATCCAATAAAGTGAGATGAACAAAGATGAGCAATGGTTCAGAACGTGATTGACAGAAGACAAGATGAGAAATGGTTCAGAAAATAATTGAATGAAGATAGGAAAAGATATGGAAAGATAAAGGAATCCAATAAAGTGAGATGGACAAAGTTGAGCAATGGTTCAGAACATAATTGAAAGAAGACAATAGGGGATGGGAAAGAGTTCAGAAAATAATTGAAGAACACAAGTGGAGGTGGGCAAAAGTTCAGAACATTATTGAATGAGGATAAAGGAATCCAATGAAGTAAAAGTAAAAGTAAAAGTAAAAATTGAAGAAAATTATGGCAATGGTTTCAATGAAGGGTTCGAATTATTCCGGGCATACGTTTGGTGTTGTACTTGTTTTTATTTTTAAGTGAAATTCTATTATGTTTTGGAATTGTAATTTTTTTAGGTTAAAATGTTTAGAAAATTAAATCACGAGTATTGAAACAAAAATAATGTCAAGAAAAATTAATAAGAAAAAAAAATTAGGGGTTAATCATTCTTAAACAATTTAATAAAGTTGCGGACTCAAATTATGAGTCTGCAAGGTTGGAGGGAAAAAAAATTGAGGAATGCTAGCAACCTTCTCTCTAACCTTCTCCTTTGGACCTTCTCCATTTTTTGCTTGACATGTGTCATTCTCCTTACACTTAAAACAATGTCATTAATATATTATACAAGCTAACTTTTGCTTTCCAAGTTTACCCTTATTAAATATATTCAATTTATCCAAAAAAAATAATCACAACGTTCTTACCATCTTATTAATTTTTTTTTTTTCACGTCAATTATATTTTTTAAAAGAAAATGTCTTCTTTTATAAAAAAAGAAGGAAATTTCCCCCTTTATTTTTAACACAAAGGGTTTAGATGGGAAAAAAAAAGGTCTAAACTTGACGTTAAAAAAAGGGGCATTTACTATTTTTTTAAAGCTGACATTTTCTTTTAAAAAAAATCATTGACGTTAAAAAAAAAATTAATAAGATGGTAAGAAAGTTGTGAAATTTTTTTGGATAAATTGAATACATTTAATAAGGGTAAACTTGGAAAGCAAAAGTTAGCTTATATAATAGATTAATGACATTATTTTAAGTGTAAGGAGAGTGACACATGTCAAGCAAAAAATGGAGAAGGTGCAAAGGAGAAGGTTAGAGAGAAGGTTGCTAGCATTCCCCAAAAAAATTTGAGTCCTGAAAATACATGAACAGTTGTATTTTGGAGGGTGAAAATTTGAGTTTAGCCCCAACATGGTTAGAGATGGTCTTATCAGTTTTAAACTGAACTAAACTTGACATATTTTCAGTAGATATGACAGGAATAAGATTTGACAAACAGGACAGACACAACATATCAAAGAACTAAAAACAAGAAGGACAAACTACAGTAAACCCCCCCAACCTATAGGATCATTTACGAGTTCATACCCGATTTTGGGGACATTTACGAGTACATACTTAACGTCGCGGAAAACCTACAATTTGCCCCCTCCGTTAGCCAAACCGTTAGTTAATCGGTTATATGCAGATGTGGCATTTGTGGGACTTATTTTTTACCTGACGTGGGGTTCCACGTGGATAAAAAACTAATAAAAAATTTATTTGTTAAATTATTTTTAAAAAATTAAACATATTAAATTTTAAATTTTAAAAAAAAATTAAAAACCCTACCAAGATTCTGTCTCTCCCGATTTCTTCCCCCCACAGATTTCTTCCCCCGACCCAGATTTCTTCTAACCCACCACCCAGATCAAGAATATCAAAGAAATCTTCCACTTGCCTGTTCGAATGCCACGGCCTACCGAAACCATCTCCATTCCTTTAAGGCATACCCTCCACGAGGTACCCATTGGCAATCCTCATTGTGTTAGATCTTTTTGGGGTTTGTTTGCTGCAGAAAACCCAGTTCAGTTTCAGCCTTTTTTTTTTTGAGGACTTGGCAGGAAGAGATAAATTTATACTTGTACATAAATTTTTGCTTTGTTTTTCTCGTTTATGGGTTAGATTTTTTTTGGGCTGTCAATCTCCAAACAAAGTAGATGGGTTCTTGATGTTATTTCCACTGTGACTATCTGAGAATCATGAGAAGGATTTCAATGAAAATGAGTCAATTAGAACTTTGTGGTCTAATTCTAATTCATCCCCATCGCCATTCCCTTCTTTTCTTTTTCATTTTCTTTGCCATTATGGTTTTGATCAGTTCTTGGTTTTCTGGGTTTACTTGAATTCTGAAATGGATTTGAAGTGATGGGTTTGGTTCAAATATTTTATTCGGCAAAAAGAGGTGGGAGATTCCATTAAACTATATTGCAGCTGATGGAATTGTGGATCTGGTGAGCTTAGCTGTGTCAAGATCCAAAAAATAGAGAGAGAGAGTAAGGTGGGGTTGTTAGAGTTCCTTCTTGGCTTTCCATGGCAGATCGAGAATGATGGCTACATATCAGAATTAGAGAGGGAGACTGGGTTTAGGTAAGAAGATCAGTTTGTTGCTAGTGGGAATTGTTTTAATCATTTTAAAAGGTAAAGGGAGGAGGAGGGATGGTGGCTGGGGATGAAAGCAGGGTACAGACAGGGACGGACTCAGGATTTGAAAATGACATGGGCTAAATTCAAGGGCGAAGTTAGGAATATTTGTAGGAGTAGGCTAAATGTTGAAACGAATCCAATGATATATTTTTTTAGACTGTGTTTAACGGATACCTTTTTTTTTGGGGTAAATTATAAGCTCTTGTTTGTTATCAAAAAAAATTATAAGCCCTCTTTTTTCAATATATATTTTTTCTTTATCATATTTAGAACTTTTTTTCTATTCTACTGACATTTGAAACAGACAAAAATCTTGGAATTATTGATAATATTGTTGAAATATTTGGAAGGGATTGAAGGGAAACAAAGAAAAAAAACAAAAACAAAAAGAAGAGGAAAGCTATATGTACTGGGAAATATTTAGAAGGAATTGAAGTAAAAATAAAATAAAAACACATATCTCATCCCAACACACACATCCTTTTTTTTATTCTATTTCCTCATTTCCCCTTTTTTATTCTATTTCTTTTCTCTCTCTCTCTCTCTCTTTCCGATTGTTTATCATCTACCCCTCTGTTTTTTTTATTCTTTTTCCTTCTTCTTCCTCTCTTCCTTCTTCTTTCTTTCTTCTTCCTCTCTGTTCTTTCTTCTTCCTCTATTCTTTCTTCTTGTCAGCCGGTTGATTGCCTAGGCTAGAGTACGAATTTAGTCCCCAAAAAAAGAAGTTCCCTGGGCTATAGCCCAGGTTAACATGTTCATGGGACCGTCCCTGGATACAGAGACGGAAGGGGGATGGGAAGGGGTGGCTGAGGTCGTGATGGGGTTGGCTGGGTGTGGAAGAGACTCTGAGAGATTTTTTTGTTTTGAATTTTGAATTTTTATTTATTTAATATAATTTATCTTTTTTTTAATATTTGAAAAAATAAAAGAATTGTTTATCATATATTTTGTCCACCTGTAAGTCCACTCCATTAAAAAATGGAACTAACATTCGCCATGTCAGCATTTAACAGATTCACTAACGGTTTGGCTAACGAAGGGAGCAAATTGTAGGTTTTCCGCGACGTTGAGTATGTACTCGTAAATGTCTCCAAAATCAGATATAAACTCGTAAATGACCCTATAGGTTGAGGGGTTTACTGTAGTTTGTCCAAACAAGAACAAGAAGCAAAAACACCAAAAGAACAAAACAAACGAAAAAACCACACAACAGAAGATTACTTGTGGATGTGTACTCAATTGATTTAGTTGTTGAAAGCGCGAAAGAAATTAATAAGATATACTTTTCTGGTAGAAGTTAGAACCAGTTTTAAGACTTTAAAGACTTTGAATGGTTAGCTTTGGAAGACTTTGAAGACGATAAACTTCTCTTCACCTTCTTGGTTTCTTCTCTTTGATTCCCTTACTTTTTTTTTTCAATTTTTTATACTTTCTCTAGTTACAACTACGTTTTTCATGAATTGTGCGTCTATAAAAAGAGTTTATAATTTCTCCACCCTTAATTGTGTGAGAGCCATAATTAAGCATACATAATTAGAAAACAAAATTGTTGAGCCCATGCCCCATGGTTTATGTCAGCCACTTGAATAATATATGGAATTATTGAATCGCATGCTTATAAATATATTAAAGTATAAGATAATAAAATGTGATTTTAGCTCTTGGAAATAATGCACGTGGCTTTTCTTGACCCCAAGAATAATAAGTTTCTCCAATATTAAATAATTTGTAAAACTAATGAATACACCACTTATCTGATAGAGGCTTTGGTAAGAGTAGTGTCATTAGTAATTTTGAGGCAAAATCTGAGTGGAGGGTCAGGAGAGGTCACACAGGGCTGCCGTTCGGTAATTTTGAGAGTTCAGCGTCCTTGGGTGCCTTGAGAAGTCTCATAGTGACGGATAGAGATCCAGTCCGTTCAGTGCCTTCAGCGACAGGGCTGATGATTTGTTTTGTATGCTGCCGTACGGTAGGACTTCTCAGCTTTTTATGTAATTGCATGGCTGAGTGCCTTTTGGTGGTTATCATTTTGATATTCGCCATGTATGTTGGCAGCCCTCCTTAGTAAAGTATGCAATGTGGGATCCCTCCAATAATGTTTTCCAAGGAATATGCCGAACGGAAAGGCATGTCAAGAAAAGATAGGGTGGCCCATGTGTTTCCTCTTCTTCTGAATATTATATTGCAAGGATTTATCTTCTACATGTCACTGCTTTAGCATTCATGGTTGCTCCAACATGGTATTGCCGAACGGCAACTTAGGTGATGCTGATTGTAGGGGTGCCGAAGGGCACTGAAGAAGGGGAGAACGACAGA